CCACGAAACCTTCCACCTACAATCTTCCCCGCCTGCAAGGAGTGCTGGGGCAACGGTGGTACAGAGCTTGTGGGAGTGGCCAACCAATGACTGGTCCAACTTGAGGCCCATGCCATGAGAGGGAGCCCAGACTGACCCTGCCTGGAGGACCAGGAACCAGGGGCTGGGCATCCCAGAGACCCGGGATAGAGCTAAACACAATGGAGGGAAGGTCAGTGAAATTATTGCTAATGATACTCTGCTATACTCACAGATTTGTGCCTCCCCCAGTTGTCATCAGAGAGGCTCCATCCAGTAACTGATGGGAATTGATGCAGAGACCCACAGCCAAAGACTAGGTGGGGCCAGAGGAACCCCACAGAAGTTGGGCAGGAGGACTGAAGGAATCAGAGCAGTCATGACACCATAAAACACAGCCCACAGGGTCAACTAAGGAGGGGAATCACAGAGACTGAAGTGATAAGTCACAGACTCTGCATGGGTCTGCACAGGTCCTCTGGATATGCATTATGGTGTGTGGCTTGGTGTTCATGTGGATCTCTTAACAGTGGAAGTGGGGTGTCTCTGACTCTTTTGCCTGCTCTTGGAACCCTTTCGTTCTACTGGTTGCCACATCCAGCTTCAATAAGAGAGTTTGTGCCTAGTCTTACTGTAGCTTGTTATGCCATGTTTGGTTGATATCCCGAGGAGGTCTGTTGTTTGGTTTTGTTGTTTTTTTTTTTTTTGGAGGGGGGCAGAGGAGGAATGGATCTTGGGGAGAGGAGAGGTGGCAAGGTGGGGTGGGGACTGGAAGGAGTGGAGGAAGTAGAAACTATAGTCAAGATGTAATGTATGAGAGAAGGATTTTAAAAGAAAAAAAAATGTGGTCAGAAAAAGTTAGAGAGATAGATAGACAGATAAAGTGCCTGATAATAAGAGGCTTGAGAAATGGCAAAGAGCACCTGCTACTCGCAAAGGACCCAGGCCAGGTGCCAGCTCCCACATCGTGGCTCACAACCATCTGTAGCTCCAGTTCTTGGGAACCTAATCTCCTCTTCGGACCTCTCAGGGCACCAGACATGCTCATGGCACACAGACACACATGCAGGCAAAACATTCACTTAAAATAATTCAAAAGGTAAATTTTAAACTCTTGATAATAGATTATCTAACTTGACAAAGTATCTGTTTGCCAACCTGGGTCATGCATTTTCACTTGATGATACACGAACAAGGTTAAGTAAAATGTGCAACTTTCTAAGGATGTATTGAAATTGGATCTCTAAAGAAAATGATCAGCTATCTGAACTTCGGCACACACACAATCATATGCATACACACATACACACACACACAAATACATACATATATATGTTTTCCCTGAAGGCTTCCTTATGAAGTAGCCAAAGTATACAGCTCAAAATCTAAGTAAATGATTCATCACAAAACAAATAAAAAAGAACAACAGTAACAACAAAAATCCACCAAAACTTGCCTACCGAGTCCTTCCTTCCTTTTGCCATTTTCTACTACCCAGCTACATTTGTTTATGTTATTTTGTTTGGTATTTTAAGACAAGATCTCCCTCGACAGACCAGGCTGTTCTTGAACTCAGAGTGCTTCTCCTACCTCAGTATCCCAAAGTCTAAAGGAATCACAGGCATGACTTATGTCTGTAATCACTATCCTTGATGCTATATTTCAATTAAAATAATTTTTTTTTCCTGGCTGGAGAGATGGCTCAGAGGTTAAGAATACTGGCTGCTCTTTCAGAGGTCCCTGAGTTCAAATTCCCAGCAACTACATGGTGGCTCACAACCAACCATCTATAGTGAGATCTAGTGCCCTCTTCTGGCATGCAGTCATACACACAGGCAGAATATTGTATAAATAGTGAATAAATCTGTAAAAAAAAAAATTTTTTTTTTCCAGAATGGTTCTCACTGTGTAGCCCTGGCTGCCCTGAAACTTGCTATGTACGCCAGGCTAACCTCAAACTCAGAGATCCACCTTCCTCTGTCTCCCAAGTGCTGGAGCTAAAGGTGTGCACCACCATGCCTGCCCTAATATCAGTGCTGATCTCAGGAACTATGACCACTCTCACCTTTGTCCTGAGGCAACTGTGCATAACTCTCCTCCCCATGGGCTGAAGAATGGTGAGAACTGAAGTGTTTTGGTTTGTTGTTGTTGTTTTTTCAATTCTCACAGAATGAAAAAATAAAAAAGCAAACAAAACAAAACACATATTTTGTCTCACTTCTCTTAAACTCAAAAGGGATATTTAGGCAGCAAGGGAGGCCTAGACCCAACGCTGATTAAAGTGTAGATTGGCGTCTAACCCAGGCTGAGTGATGCAAACACTAGAGAGGCAAGCAGGGACCCAGGCAGGCTGGGAGCCCTGCAGGTGAGAAAGGCCTGCGTGCCTGTAGCCCCAGCACTTGGAAGGCACAGTTCTCTGTGAACTCAAGACCAGCCTGGTCTACACAGTGAGTTTCAGGACAGCCAAGGCTACACAGAGAAACCCTGTCTTGAAAAATAAAAAGTAAATTAGTCCCTAAAATGAGCCCAATATAACATGGCCATGGCTTCAATAGTGCACCTGGCTTTGCTGTGTCTTTTTGGGAGCAGTAAGCAGTTCTAGGCCTAAATCTACCAAGTATTAAGTGTTACAGCTGCTTTCTCTCTCTTGTCCTCTACTTTTTGTTTTGTTGTTGTTGTTTGTTTAGGCCAGGCTAGACTCATAACACATCCAAGGATGACTTTAAACTCTGATCATCCTGCCTTCAGCTCCTAAGTGCTGGCATTACGGCACACTCAGCCACACACAGCCTTCATTAACTGCTTCCCAGGGAGGTGACTTGTCCTCTAGCTACCTCACAGTGGTAACCCAGTCAGCTGGTATAGCTACAGCATAGTGAGAATAGCGCTGAGCCTCTCGGGTTCAAATCCTGTCTCCAACATTTACAATCAGCGCAGACTAGCAATGTCACTTAGGTGACCGCTCTGCCTTCAATTCTATGACCTGTAAAACTCAGACAATCAAACAGTTCCCGGCTAGTGGGATGGCTCAGTGGATAACAGCATGGCTGACAATCTGAGTGTGAATCCCAGAACCCATATTAAAAACAACAAAACAAAGCCAGAGCCCATGGCATGCATCTGTAACCACAGCTCTCCTGCAGAGAAATGAAAAGAACACCTAGAAAATTTCCCAAACAGCTGATGGCCAACTAGCCTGGAGGATTTTGTCCAGCAGAAACACACACACACACACACACACACACACACACACACACACACACACAGTGAGAGTAAATTTTAAAAACCTACACTAAGTAAATTTTACAGTAAGTAAAATTTACACTAAGTAAATTTTAAAAACATCACACTCCCTTTGTTTTAGGGTTGAGTGACAAAGCAAAGAATCCATTGCAGAGGGAGACCCCGATGTACATATCAGCCAGCACCTCCTTTGAGTTGGGTGCCTTCTCCCTCAACACTTATTCACAGTAAACGAGCAAGTCCTGCTTCCTTCCTTCCTTCCTTCCTTCCTTCCTTCCTTCCTTCCTTCCTTCCTTCCTTCCTTCCCTTTCTTTCTTTCTTCTTCTTATGGTTTCTCTGTGTAGCCCTGGCTGTCCTGGAACTAGATCTATAGACCAGGCCGGCCTTGAACTCACAGAGATCCACCTGCCTCTGCCTACCAAGTGCTGGGATTACAGGTGTGTGCCAACATCGCCTGGCTCTGAATAGGGTTTCTAAACCTCTCCAAAACTTCTCCTTTTACTCCCGCTCTGCCTTGGGTCGCCCCCCCCCCGTCCCCCCCCCCTCCACCCTGGACCATTACAACTATCTGACATCATAGCTCCTGCTTGGGCCCTGGTAATTCCAACTCTTAGCCATTTCCATAAGAGAAACACAGATCTGATGGTGTCATTCTCCCTATCACCTACAGAAAAAAGTCTAAATTCTTTCATCAAGGCTCTCCCATGTTCACATCTGATTAGTATGGACAATATTCTTCCTACTTTAGCCTTACCAGAGCCTGTCCTTGCCTGTTCCTGAAATCCATTCACTTTCCCACCATGACCCTCACCATATTATCTTTTTTGCTTAGTTCCTCATGTTCAACTTGCTTGTTTCTTCTTGCTCTCTCCCTCTAAGTCAGGGTCTCACTATATAGCCCTAGTTGGTCTAGAACTCTCCAAGTAGACCAGGCTGACCTTGAACTCACAGAGATCTAACTGCCTTTGCCTCCTAAGTGCTGGGACTAAAGGTGTACGCCACTGCACTGGCCCTTCTTAACCTTGTAAATCCAGCCCCAAATAGTTGTCTCTACTATGGAGCCTTTTCTGGTGTGTTACTAGCCTGCCTCTGTAACTGGGGCTGCCCAGTACTCTTTAAACCATTCCATCATGCCTTGGGGTATATTTGATGATCTATCTGTTCCAGTATGAGGAAAAAAACACAAAGAACAAGGACGTAGTCATATTTCCAGCCAACATACAGTAAGTATTCAGTGCTTGCTGAATGAATTAAGCCATTGAAACAAGAGCCAAACAATAAAAATGATGATGATATTACTTTTAAAATCCTATTATAAGAAAAACAGATCTATCTGGGCATAGTGGTGCACACCTTTAGTCCCAACACTCACTAGGCAGAGGCAGGTGGATCTCTGTGAGTTCAAGGTCTACATAGTGAGCTCCAGGCTAGCCAGAGCTATGTAGTGAGACCCTGTCTTGAAAAAAAAAAGAAAGAAACATCAATTGTTGGAAATATACAAAGGAAAAGAAAAAAGTAGGACACATAAAATCACTCAGAAGCCCTTAACTCTCAGAAATGTATGCATTCTGGTTAACTGTAGCAGAAAGGGGATTGTACCCATAAAACCCAGCCAGGTTAAATTTTGTGGGCCTGTTACCTCAGCTACTTGGGAGTCCAAGGCAGACAGTCATGAGCTCAGTGCCTAGGCAATACAGCAAGAACCTTCAAATAAAATAGGGGCCGGCTGTAGAATGCACACCTTTAATTCCAGCAGGTTGGAGGCAGAAGTAGGTGGCTCTCTGTGAGTTCAAGGCCAGGCTGCCTACAAGAAGCTCCAGGCCAGCCTGAGCTATACAGACCTTGTCTCGATAAACAAACGAACAGATAAACCTTGTAGCTATCTAGATAATTCAGCACATCTGCACTTACGAGGCAGCTGACATCTGTCATGGTAACTCGGTCTTCACTGGCGTCTGTGGTCTTGGTGGAACACAGCAGATATCTCAGGTAAAGAAGTCAGCCAGCCAAGGAACAGAAATCTGGTGAGTCCTCAAAATCTGTTCTTCCTGAAGTGTAGGTCATGTTCCACACATGGGCAGATACTGAGTCTTCACCCAGCGTCCAGGAAGACATCTCTTAAAGAGAGGACAATACCTCGGCTCGCAGACGCCCCAGAGCAGTCGTCAAATGTGGCCTCGGGTAGACAGGGCTCTGAGGAAGAAAAGAAACATTACTCTTTTGCATTAATGTTCTTTCTTTTAATATAACGAGTGTTTTGTGTGTGCATGCACCTGAACCCACATGAATGCAGTGCCTGAGGGAGTCAGAAGAGGGCAGCAGAACTGGGGGTAGAGACGGCGGTGAGCCACCTGGTGGATGCTCAGCTTGAACCCCAGTCCCCTGAGAGAGCAGCCAGCGCTCTTAACAGTTGAGCTGTACCCCGGCCCCAGCATTTATGTTCTTTAAAAAATTGCCACTGAAGTGATTTTTCTGCAAGCTTCACTGAATGAATGGAAGGGTTGTTCATCAGCCCCTCCGCCCCCCGGCAGAGCTTGCTTTGGCAAGCTAGGAAACTAAGTCAGCTGGTCCAGAAACAGTGGAGACTGATGTCTAACAGAGTGGAATGGCTCTGAGGTCAGGCTCTGCATTACAGCCTGGCTCAGGCAGGCGGAGTTTGGTAGACTTGATAGAACTGAGCAAAGGGTTAAATGTTAAAGAACGTGCATAGTGCTTGGCCTGGCCCTACACAACTTACCTGCTCATAATAAGAAGCCAGAAAGTGTTATCAGTTCACCAACAAGATCTTATCACCAAAGAAAGGCGGGAATGGCCGTGCACATTTGCAATCCCAGCATTTAGGAGACTGAGACAGGATCAAAAGGTTGCTGTCAGTTGGGGCTACATAACAAGTTCAAAACCAGCCCAGGGTATATAGTGAGATCCTGAAACACACACACATACACACTCACACACACACACTCACATACACAAAAATCAAACCAACCAACTAAACAATCACACCAAAAAAAAAACAGGCAGTGGTGGCCAAACCTTTAATCCTAGCACTTGAGAGGCAGAGAACTCAGGTGTATCTTTGTGAGCTGGAGGCCAGCCTGGTCTAGAGCTAGTTCCAGGACAGGCAGAAAAGAAAGTAAGTAAGGGCTGGAGAGATGACTCAGTAGTTAAGAGCACTTGCTGATTTTGCAGAGACCTGGCTCACAACCTTCTATCACCCCAGTTCCAAAGGATCCAACAGCCTCTTCTGGCTTCTGTGGGCAGAGCACCTATGTGGTGCCCAAACATACAGGCAAGCAAACTACTCCTACATTAAAATAAAAGTAAAGAATACATAAAAGACCCTGCTAGTAGGCTTGAGTCATCAGGAGCTTATCTTACAGCATTTCCACTATCTCTACTTTATTGTTCAACTACCTCATCAGAGTTGTCAGAAAATGGAGGAAACAGCAACCAATTGGTTTCTGACCAAGGAAAAAGCAGAAATGCCAGAGACAGAAAGCAGAAAACAGGCCACAGCCACAAAATGCCTTGCTGTGTAACTGGCTCCAGCATAAAAATAGATGTGGAATCCCAATGGCCATGCTGGAAGACAACAAAACCAGCCTTCGAGTGGCTGAGCCCATCCTGTGCCCAGAGAGACCTCAGGTTCAGGGATGGGACAAAGACACGCCTGGAGGCTTCATGGGGACGGTCGAGCAGGGAAATTAGTGCAGTGGTCTGCCCCTTGATGTTAAAGGGTGCTGAGGTGGGTAGCGTCATAACATGCTTAATGCCCACTGTGTGGTAGGACTGGGGCAACCCCCACCCCACTTCTGTTCCCACTGAGCTTACATGCCAGGGATGACAGACAGATGCTTAACGACTGCCACAGGCACACGTGGCTTGTAATTCTAACACTCAGAAGGCTCAAGCAGGAAGATGGAGACCTTGAGGACAGGCTGAGCAACACCGCGAGTCTGTCTTGAGCGATGGGGGTCGGGGACTGGCACAATGTTTACCTCCTGACTTTCTGTGGAATCTATCAGATGATGTAACTGACCAAAACAAAGAAAGGGGAAATGGGAAAAACCTCTTTTGCAGCCTTGTGGGAACCTAGGCAAGAGTACTCGGGAAACAATGAGAAGACACGAAGCAGCCAGCGAGTGACCATGGTGGCTCATGCTTGCGACCCCGGCAGAGGCAGGAGTGATGCCGCGCATCTGAGGCCAACCTGGGCTGCAGTGGAAGTTGTAGGCAAGCTTGAGCTACAGCCTGAGACTTTGTCAAAACATAAATGAAGGCTGGAGATGTATCAAAGTTGGCAGAACACTTGCCTAGCATGCACGAAATCCCGGGTTCCATCCTCAGCACCCCAAAAACTATGGCGGCGAATACCTGTAACCTCACCACTCCGGAGGTGGAGGAGGAAGAGCAGAAGTTCAGTGCCATTGTTAGCCACATACTGAGTTTGAGAATTTGAAGCTAGCCTGGAGTACGTAAGACTGTCCATAGACATACACACACACACCACCAACAGTAGCAACAACATGGACAAAAGACGTGAGGCTATCATATGCTTATGACACTTATCATATTAAATTTCTATTAAGAAATTGTGCTTTAAAGAAAAATAACCAAGCCGGGCACAGTGGTGCATTCTATAATTCTAGTCCTCAGGAGGCAGAGGCAGGTACATCTCTGAGCTCCAGGACAGCCTGGTCTACAAAGTAAGTTCTGGTCCAGCCTGAGCTACACGCGACACAGAGCAACCCTATCGAGAGACAGAGACAAGAGAGTCAGAGAGACAGAGGGAGAGAGAGAGAGAGAGAGAGAGAGAGAGAGAGAAAGAGAGAGAGGCATGCCAGGCTCAGTGGCACATGCCTGTAATCCCAGCACTCAGGGAGGCAAAGGCAGGTGGATCTCTCTGAGTTTGAGGCCAGCCTGGTCTACAAGGTAAGTCCAGGAGAGCCAAGACTACACAAATAAACCCTGTCTTGAAAAACAAAACAAATAGGAAGGAAGGAAGGAAGGAAGGAAGGAAGGAAGGAAGGAAGGAAGGAAGGAAGGAAGGAAGGAAGGAAGGAAGGGGGGAAGGAAAAACTTTATATTAAGCATGGACAGCTCAAATCTGACATCTGACGTGAGGGTGAACCTGTGAAAATGGGATTAGTTACTAGTGAGGGCGTTTGGCCCAGCTACAAAGGGCTCTGCAGAGGACTGTCAGAACAGATGGTAAAACTGGTTGCATGAAATGTATAGAAATATTGAAGGAAATCGTTTAAAAATCAGTGCATGCCTTTTATCCCAGCACTCAGGAGGCAGAGGCAGGTGGATCTCTGTGAGTTCGAGGACAGCCTGATCTACAGAGCAAGTTACAGGACAGCCAGGGCTACACAGAGAGAAACCCTGTCTAAGAAAAAAAAATATATTGTTTTTAATTAAACAAACAAACAAACAAAAAAACCAACAAACCTAAGCACCATGGCAGGATATGGCTTCTCACTTCCTTAAGCTTTTATTCCATCACTCCTCTTCCCCTTTGTCTCCCTGCTGCTGGAGCCCCTCAGTTTTTGGCATCAGCTTTGGACACCTCACTCATTGGCTGCTTCTCCCACAGCCTTCCGCGTCCATCTTTCATCCTGCTATAATCTCTTTTGACCTTCTACATCTCAGACCCCCTTCCTATGTACATATCTGCCAAAATCCAGCCCACCCTCAACCCATTTCTCAAATAGTTTTTTAAGATGCAACAGTCAGCTTCCTTCAACTTAGCATTTGCTCCCAAGTCTTTTCTTCTTCCTTAACATGTTTCCATGTCCCTCTTTCCCACTCTTCACTTCCATCAATACTTGCTTGGCTTCCATGCCCAGAAATTTTGCCTCCATTCCCATGATCCTTTTAGGTCCAGACTCCTCACTCACATTTACCCTTTCAAGATCAGCAAAGTTCTGCTTGGCTCTAGCTTCTCTTCGACTTTACCGTTGCTTCTTCATCCTCCTCTGATTCCACAGAGTGTTCTCTAACTGTGTCTTTCTCTTCCACAGGAACAGATCAATCAGCAGTATCTTTCATTTCATCCCCGGCAGAACTGTCAATTCCCATCTCTTCTTCTGCTCCTCCTTGTTCATCTCTACTGTCATGAATTTGCATTTCCTGACTCGTATTTTCTATCACACTTTCATCACCAGTAATTTGTATCACTTTTTCCGTATCTTCTTCAGTTGCTATCTCTGTTCTTGAATGCGTTTCCAGCTTCATTTCATCAGATTCCAATTCCCCAATATTTGACTCCAGATTATCTCCAGTGGAGATATCACCAGTCCTCAGCTTCTCTCCGCTGGACCTTAATTTCTCTCTACTCAACTTCTGCTTTTCATCATTTGACTTCACCTTCTCTCTGGTGGACCCCCGCCTCTCTCCACTGTCCGAGGCCTTCTCTCTGACAACGCCCCGCCTCTCTCCACTGTCCAAGGCCTTCTCTCTGATGGACCCCCGCCTTTCTCTAATGTCCAAGGCCTTCTCTCTGACGGACCCCCGCCTCTCTCTACTGTCCATTTTCGCTACAATAGATCTCCGCCTCTCTCCACTATGCCCCGGTCTCTCTCTACTGTCCACTTTCTCTATAACAGATCTCCGCCTCTCTCCACTATGCCCTGGTCTCTCTCTACTGTCCACTTTCTCTACAACAGATCTCCGCTTCTCTCCACTATATCCCTGTCTCTCTCTACTGTCCACTTTCTCTACAACAGATCTCCGCTTCTCTCCACTATATCCCTGTCTCTCTCTACTGTCCACTTTCTCTACAACAGATCTCCGCTTCTCTCCTCTGCCCACCACCTTCTCTCCAGTGGACCCCCGTTTCTCTTTCTTGTACATCAAGTTCTCCTCACTCGACTCCTCAATCTGCCCCAGTTGGTCCCCTCTGGACCTCAAGTCCCCTCTAGTGGTCCTCAACCTGTCCTTAAACTTGTCCTTCAATTTTTCTTCAGGCTCTGCAGTCATCTCTGCACTCCTGGATACAGCTCGAACTTTGGAGTCTCCTGGTCTCCAAATCTTCTCTGAGCTGCCAGGCTCCAAAACTGCTGAAGCCTGTACCGTCCTTCCCGCACTGTTCAGGAGCTTCGTGTCCACCCTCTCCTGATGCAGGCCTGATCTCTCTTTCGAGGACTTCTTCCCCTCGTCCTCTGGCTTCCAGTCCTCAGATTCCAACTTTGTGTCCCACAGTTTAGACTTTTGCAGGTTTCTGTCCAAGAGTTCCACTCTCTTTCCAATTACGATGAGCCCTTTCCAGGGCTTCCACACCTCTTTCTCTCGCACTTGCGCCTTCTTGTGCTCCGGTAGCGATCGCCTGTGGACATGGTGGGCCTTGCTTCGGGAGCCTCGGGTCCGGGTCTTACTGCGTCCCCGGGACCCCCTAAGCTGCTTAGCCCGTACTTTCGAGCACGTACGTGGACACCTTGACGAAACCTCTTGCTCCACATACATTGCTACCTGCCCTCGCCCCTAGGCCCCCTGACCTACTTAGGTCCCCCATTACCCACTACCCAACCCACCCTCCCACCCTAGCCCTCATTTCCGGGCTCCCCGCCCCGCCCCGCCCCGCCCCGCCCACCGCCCAGTGGCGCCAAGCTGTCCTAGTGCGCATGTGCAGCTGCTTGCCCCCCGTTAGAAGAAGGCGGGGCCGGAACGGCCGCGTTTGTGCCTCCCACCCGCGGAAACAGCACGCGACCTCTGTAACCCTAGAGCCCTCCCCCACGCACAGGCCCTGGCCTATCCTGGGCCGGCTCGCTGGTGCCGCTTAAATGCTAACACAGGATCGACAGGCCACACAGCCAATAGACGCTCGAGTGGTAGACCTGGTGCCCAATCAGAAGGAGCAGCTGAGGGCAATAGGGCCCACCCAAGGGAGGTGGCAGCCAGGGTCAACTGATAGCATCCCTATAGGGGCCCCTCATCCAAGTTGTTGGGGAGGTGGCCAGGTGTAGGATTTTTGTGTGTCCCATCTGAGGAGCACCGTGGAAGAGCATCATCAGGAGGCTGGGAAAGAGAGTAAGGTAAAGGAAGGAAGGAAACCTCTTCCTACTCCACTCCGTCCTTCCACTCCAAGCAGAGAGCTGAGTAAGGGAATGCGGTGCTTGTATGGCCCCTGCAGAGAGGCGGGTGGAGGATGCAGACAAAATCAGGATTTTACCTCAGCCTCCCCAGGACCAATTTAGTACTGGCTTGATGGGGGAGAATGGGGAAGACTGCCAGTGACTGAGCTGGGTAGGAGAATCCTGTTGAATATACAGGCTCACCCGTTGTATTTGTGTTCATATATTTATAAGACCATCCATTCTTCAGTTTCTCTTTTCAACCCCCATTCAAAGGTTATTGGAGATAACCTTTATTGTTTTGGGACTTGCATAAATACACACTTGAGGTAGGAACTGAAAGCTGTGGTGAGCTGTGGCAGAGGTAGGGAATGGAACCGCTGTGGTGTGTTCTGAAAGTCACATCCCCCTGAAGCAGCTATCAACTCAGAATGGAGATAGACATCAAGAAGGAAGCCAGGAGCCAGGTGTGGTGGCCCATGCCTATAATCCCAGCTCTTGGGAGGCAGAGGCAAGTGGATCACTGTGAATTGGAGGCCAGCCTGGTCTGCAAAGCGAATCCAGGACATCCAAGGCTACACAGAAAAACCCTGTCTTGAAAAACAAAAACAGCCTGGCATTGGTGCACACCTGTGATCCCAGCACTCAGGGAGGCAGAGGCAGGAGGATCTCTGTGAGTTCTAGGCCAGCCTTATCTACAAAGCGATTCCAGGACAGCCAAGGTTGCACAGCGAAATCCTGTCTCTGTAAGTAGAAAGCCAGGGAGTTAGTCTGCCTGTATTTGAAGGCGAGGAGAAAGGCAGAAGCCTGCCTTGGTAGGGTCAGAGACTCCAAGAAGTTGAGAGTAGGATTGAAGTGGAATTTTGAAGGAAAGGGGCTAAGCGTGGCTTTCTGTCTACATATGTTCATATTAGAAGATACATACATATAAACAGCTAGGCATGGTGATACACACCTTTAATTCTGGAACTCCAGAGGCATAGGCAAAGGCAAGAAGATCTCCATGAATTTAAGGCCAGTCTGGTTTACAGGGAGTGTTGTAAACCAACCAGGGCTATATAGTGAGAGCTTGTCTCAAAAATAGAATATATATATATATGTGTATGTCTCATATATATATGTGTGTGTGTGTGTGTGTGTTTATAGAACATGTTTATAAAGTGATTAGAAGCCAGATGTAGTCCCAGCATTTGTGAGTGTAAGGCCCACTGGAACTACAGTGTGAAGCTCTGTCATAAATACACACATTTCTTTATTTATCAGAACAATGCCTAACATATTTAAGGCCAAATATAGATGTTACCTATTGGCATTGTTGTGGTTGCTATTATCAAATGAGTTACTATATATTCTGAGAATGTGCTGAACTGTCAAACTGATGAGCGCACCTCAGATTTGTAGGGGCCACATTTTCTGAAAATACTTTTTAATATTCATCCTGTAGGTTAAATACCACTGTCACAAAGTGCATCTTTCAAATGTAGAGGCAAAGCTGGAGAGATAGCCCAGTGGTTAAGCGCTATGGCTACTCTTGTAAAGGACCTGAATTTGGTTCTCAGGACCCACATCAGGAGGCTCCCAACTGCCTCTAATCTAGCTATGGAGACTCAGATGCCCTCTTCTGGCCTTCTTGGAAACTTGCACTCAAATGTGCATACTCATGCACACATATATATAACACGTAAATAAAAAATTTTAACTTTAATGTAGAGAGACATTAAAAGGAACACGAAAGGACTTGGAAAATATGTTTTAGTGGTACAATACTTGCCTAGCAAGGAATGCAGTTTGAGCCTTAGCACTGCAAAAATAATCAATAATGATGATGATAAATACAAGTACAAATATAATAGGGAAGAAAGGATAAAAGTATAAAATATTTGATTACTCTTACTAAAGATTAGAAAAATAAATAATAAAAAGGTGAGACATGCCGACACAAAGAAAGGATATATGTCTGGGGACAAATGTACATATTCAAATGTCACATTGGAGCCACTTGTAGAGGTGCAAATCTGTAACCCTAGCACTTAGGAGGTAGAGCCAGGAGGATCAGGAGGAGTTCAAGATCACCCTCAGCTACACAGTGAGGTAGAAGCCAGCCTGAGCTGCATAGGGCGACCCTGGCTCAAAAGTAAGACAGAGAGCAAAACAAAACAGTGATGACCAATTTCTTTAAAAAGTCTAAAGGTTTCCAACATGTAGAAATGACAAATCTTTAAGGAGATGTAAAGGCAGTGGTGGCACTTGCCTTTACTCCCCCCAGCACTCAGGAGGCAGAGGCAGGCAGAGCTCTGTGAGTTCCAGGAGGCCAGCCTGGTCTATAGAGGAAGTCCAGAACAGCCAGGGCTACACCGAGGAACCCTGTAGAAGAAGGAGGAGGAGGAAGAAGAAGAAGGCAGGGAGGGAAAAAAGAAGAAGAAGCAGCTAGTTCTCTGATTTGATCATTTCACAGTATACACATACACCAGTCATCACTGTACCCAAAAATATGGCAAAAACGTGCCAATTCGAAGAAACTGGAGAACATCTGTCTGGCCAGTGAGATGTCTCTCTGGATGAAGGCCCTTGCCACTAAGCCTGACAACCCAAGTTTGATCCCAAGATCTACATGATGGAAGGAGAGACTCCTACAATTGTCCTCTGACCTCCATGTGCTTACTGCGACATACCTGTGCCACCGCCACACCTGTGCAACCGCCACACATATCCACACAAATAGATAAATATGTTAAAAAGATAATTCCCTTGAATGCCTCAAGGGATTTAGCTATAAGCATATCTACACTTAGAGATGACTTTGAAGAGGCTTTAAATTACACATTCCCAAGTCTACAGATACATGTTACAGATTTTAATAAGGTCAAATTTTTATAAACCCTGAAAATCTATTTTGGCTAACCCTGTTTATATAGAGACTATTATTATTATTGTGGTTTTTTTCCAAGACAGGGTTTCTCTGTATAGCCCTGGCTGGAACTTCCTCTGTATACCAGCCTGGCCTCAAACTCACAGAGATCCACCTGCCTCAGCTTCCCAAATGCTGGGATTAAAAGGCATGCGCTCCCAGCTCCCAACTTGCATTAATATTTTTTAAAATCCACATTTGGGTGGGGACTAGAGAGGTGGCTTTGTGGTTAAGGCACTGGTTGCTCTCCCAGAATACCTTGGTTCAATTCCCAGAACCTATATGGCAGCTCACAGCACCCAGCTCACAGCTGAGCTGTCTGTTATTCCTGTTCCAGTGGATCGAGGACAGACACGGTGCACATAACACACACACTCACACACAAAACGTGAAAGTAAGCACATTAAGAAAAACATACACACAAAACTGTCTGTGGTTCCAGCTCCGGAGGACCTGACTCCCTCTCACAGACATACGTTCAAAACACCATTGCACATAAAATAAAAATATAAATTTAAAACCACATTTCCCCTATTTTATGTTGCTTGGTTGTTTTTTTGTTTTTGTTTTGTGTGTGTGTGTATATGTGTGTGTGCTGTTGTTTGGTTGGTTTAGTTTTTCTTTTTTGGGGGGGACAAGATTTCTCTGTGTAGCCCTGGCTATCCTGGAACTCAATCTGTAGACCGGACTGGCCTGGAACTCACAGTGATCCGCCTGCCTCTGCCTCCTAAATGCTGGGATTAAAGTTGTGTGCCCCCACCCCTGGCTTCCTTTTGTTTTTGTTTTGCCTGCTATGTGTGTATGCTGAGTATGTGAGTTCATATATATGTGGAGGCCTGAGGCTAATGTCTCTTTTTAAAAAAAAAATATTTACTTTTATTTCATGTGTATGGGTGTTTTGTCTGTCTGTCCGTCTATGCACTGTGTGCGATCAGTGCTGAAAGAAGCCAGAATTCCCTGGAACAGATGTTTGTTAGCCACCACGGGTTGCTGGGAATGGGCCCTGGGGCCTGTGGAAGAGCAGACAAATGTTCTTAACTGCTCAGCCATCTCCTGCCCCCTACTGATGATGTCTTTCAGTTGCACCTGGAGTTTGCCATCTGAGCTAGACTGACGAGCTCCCTTCTCCTGGAGATTCTGTCCCTGTCATAGGCTAGGTTTATAAATAGTGTACTGTGTTACCTGGCTTTTACACTTGTTCTAGGGAGCCCAACCCTTCCCTCTGCTTATACGGCCCTTTACCTATCTTTCCAGCCTCCCACCTTTTAAAAAAGATACTAAATGTCTTTGACCATGTGTACGTTTGTGTCTCCATGTGGTTTGTGCATGTGTGAGTTCAGGTGCCCTCGGGGTACAGAGGCATCAGATCCCCTGGAGCTGGAGTTACAAAGGGTTAAAAGCCACTGATGTGGGCACTGGGAACCATACTTGTCCTGGAAGGACAGCAAGTTACTCAACACTAAGCCAGCTCCCCGGCCACTGAGCTTTCTCAGACTGTAGCCCAGGCCCACTGTGTAGGCCAGGTTGCTGTGAATTGTCCGTAATTCTCCTTGCTCAGCCTTCCGAGTGCTGGGATTCAGGCCTCTCTATCATGGTTGGTGTGCCTCTCCTTCTTACTTTTGTCATAGAGATCTACTTTTACTATTTATGTTAATATCTCTGTGTCTGTCTGAATATACGCACATGAATGAGCGCGCCACAAAAAATCCAGGCCTTGAACGCACAGAGATCTGTCTGCCTGCCTCTGATTAAAGATGTGGGCCACCACTCCTGTTATACAAAATAATAATAATAATAATAATAATAATAATAATAATAATAATAATAATAATAATGTTTTAGGATTTTGCTTGTTTTTTGTTTGTTTGTTTTATTTTTGAGATAGGGTTTCTCTGTGTAGCCTTGGCTGTCCTAGAACCCACTCTGTATACCAAGCCGGCCTCAAACTCACAGAGATCCGTCTGCTGCTGACTGGGATTACAAGTGTGCTCCACTGTGCCGGGCTCCAGCTCCTGTGTTTAGTTTTTGTTTTACTTATTATTGCGGGGGGGTGGGGGGTGGGGGGAATGTGTGGAGACCAGAGGACAGCCTTTGAGATTCTGTTTCCTCTTGTCCCCGTGGGTTCCAGCAAGCAAACTCAGGTCGCCAGGCTTGTGCAACAAGTGCTTTTACCCACTGAGCCATCTTGTTAGCCCTCCAATGGGATATTCCAAATTACATATTTGGTAGAGTTTGGCCAACACATGGCAGATGGAGGCAAGACAAAGAGTTGGGGCCGTCGTCAGCTGCATGGGCATTATCTCCAAACAACGAAAACAAAAACTTAAGTATATTTTACTACCTGCTCCCAAGCTGTCAAGAACATTAAGAGAAAGGGAAAAGAGGCTAAATGCGATGGACGGTCCAGACCGGAAGCCCAGCCGCTCCAGAGGGTTAGGCAGGACTTCCGGATTGCCTCAGGGAGTGGATGAAGGTGGTTTACTGCCATCCGCAGCACTGCAAGAGAAAGGACAGAGACAACCCAGGACGCAAACCCTAAACTATGATCAAGTTAGAATACTGACATAGTACCTCAGGAGGGTAGTTCTTTAGCAAGGCCATCTTCCAGGAACGCAAGGCGCTCGGCATTTGAAACCAGCCAAATCCAACTAGGAAGCATGGTTTGTCCCCACCCCCACCTCGCTCCTCACTCCCCCTCCTCCAGCCCCAATGCGCGCGGGCGCCCCGTGCTGACTACAACTCCCAGTCGCCGGGTTTTGCCGGTTACAGGAGGGTTTCTCCGCCTGGTCCCATGTTGCAAAAACCAAGGAGCAGGGGCCGCCCCGGTGCTCAGCTTGGGAGCGGCAGCGACTGCCGCCCGGATGTCTCTGGGGAGACCCCGAGCGGACCTGGCCACCCCGACGACTCGCAGGCCACCCCAGGCGCCCTGCCGCCCGGCTCCCGCCCGGCCCAGGCCACCTCCGCCCCGGAGCTCTGGACTCAGCAGCAGCTGGAGCTTAAAGTGGCGGAGCTGGTGCACTTCTTGCTGATTAAGGACCAGAGGAAGATCCCGATCAGGCGGACCGGCATCCTGAAGCACGTCATCCGAGACTACAAGGACATCTTTCCAGACCTGCTCAGGCTGGCTGCCGAGCGGCTCCACTACGTGTTCGGCTACAAGCTGGTGGAACTGGAACCCAAGAGCAACGCCTATGTCCTCATCAACGCCCTGGAGCCGGTGGAGGAGGACGGCGAGGCGAGGGGACGCCAGGGGACGCCCACCACCGGCCTCCTCATGATTATCTTGGGGCTCATCTTTATGAACGGCCACAGCATCGCAGAAACCGAAGTCTGGGATTTTCTACGTCGCCTGGGGGTGTACCCCACCAAGAAGCATTCAGTGTTTGGAGATCCGAAGAAACTCATCACTGAAGACTTCGTGAGGCAGTGTTACCTGGAGTCCCGGCGGATACCCCACACGGATCCCGTGGACTGTGAGCTCCAGTGGGGTCCGCGAGCGAATCTGGAAACCAGCAAGATGAAAGTTCTGAAATTTGTAGCCAAAATTCACAATCAAGATCCCAAGGACTGGCCCACGCAGTACTGTGAGGCTCTGGCAGACGAGCAGACTAAGACCAGGCCTGAGCCAAGTGGTCCAGCCTCGACCTCTTGAAATAAGTGTTCCGGACTTCTCCAGCGAAAGCCGGAGGAATAGGGGACGTGCGGGTGAAAGGAGCGTATTTCCACAGCAATAAAAATGCATTACTTTAAGATGTGTTTCAGTTTATTATTTTTTTTCTCTTAGAATTGTGATATTTTATGAATTCTCTTAGAATTGTGATATTCTGTGAAAATAAATTCAGGACAGCCAAGGACACACAGGGAAACCCTGTCTCAAAAAAAGAAAAAAAAAAGGGGGGGAAAGAATTGTTTTTATTTAAAGGTAGTATTCTTGTGAGTGCATGATGTGTAAGTGCACATATGTGCCACGCCCGTGTAGAGCTCAGAGGACAATTTATGGGAGCTGGTTTTCATCTTCCACTGTATGGGGCGTGGGAATCTGACCAGGCTTGGTGGCAAGCACCCACATCCACCTGTTACCTGCTGATGTTGGGGGTTTTGTCTTCAGGTGTGGGTCTCTCTGTGTAGCCCTGGCTGTCCTGGAACTTGCTCTGTAGACCAGGCTGACCCAGGAACTCAGAGATCCACCTGCCTCTGCCTCTCCAGTGCTGGGATTAACGGTGTGTGCCACCACTGCCTGACCTTTGGTTGTTATTTTTTGAACAGTGTCTCATGTAAGCCAGACTGGTCTCACACTCCTATTCCTCCCCATCCTAAGAGCTGCAAAGAACCAGGCATGGAGCTGGATAGCTATAATCCCAGTACTGTAGAAGCAGTAGTAGGAAAATGAATTAGGGTTGGAAGCTAAGCTATCCTGAGCTATATAGTTTCAGGCCAGCCTGGGCTACATAGGAATACCCTGTCTCACAAAACCAAATAATAATAATGACAATAATAAATCATTTTACTAAATATTTTAAAATTTCTGTGTCTGTGTGTGGGTATATGCATATGAGTGTGGGTGCCCTCAGAGGCCAGAAGAGGGCGCTGGGTCCTCTGCAGCTGGAGTTACAGGCAGTTCTTAGCTGCCTGAGGTGGGTGCCGGGACCCCAGTTCTCTTTATTTTTAATTTCATCCGATGTGTATGGGTGTATGTCTGTGCAGTGTTCCCATCTGTTGCAGAAGATATAGAATGTCCTCGGACTGGAGTTACGGATCTTGTGACCTGTGGGTGCTGGGGGATTGGACTCCAGAACTCTTGGAAGAGGTTGTCTCTTTACTGCTGAGTCATCTCATAGCCCCTAAATAAAATTTTAAAACGGAATAACAGGAAAATCCACATAATTATAATTATCCTGAGAAAGGAAAAGTTGATAGAAATCAACAGCCATCCGAGGAGCTTCATTAATATATAAAAGATATGTAAAAACGTTTGAATTTTGTTTCTTAAACATTTGTGTGTGTGCACACTCTAGCATACATATGCTGGTCAGAGGACAACTGTGTAGGTTTATTTTTTTCTTCTCCCTTTACATGGTTCCATTAAGCTTTTAAAACAAATGCTATAACTGCCAAGTTTTTCTGCTGGGCCCTAGCATTTTGAATTTTGAAAGCAGTTTTCTTTTTTTTTTTTTTTTTTCTGGTTTATTTTATTCTGCGTGTTTGAGTATTTTGCTTTCCTGTGTCTATGTGTACCATATGCCTGCCTGGTGCCCTCAGGAGGTCAGAAGAGGGTGTCAAGTCCTTGGAACTGGAGTTACAGATGGTTGTGAGTATGAGGAGTCTGGGAACTGAACCCAACTCAAACAGTACTCTTGACCTTTGAACCATCTCTCCAGCCCCAACTTTTTTTCTTTTTTTTTAATTGGGAGGGGGTTGTGCCATGAGGTCAGAGGAAAGTTGGAGGGAGCCAGTTCTCGACTTGTACGGGATGGGTCCTGGAGATCACAGCGGAGCCAGGTGTCCTGAGCATGTGAGCTGTCCCACTGATCCTCCAGCTCTTTATGAGACAGGATTTCATGTTGGTCAGGCAGGCTTGGAACTGACTCTATAGTCAAACATGGCCATGAACTCTACCCACAATCTTCTGAAGCGATTATGGCCTTGAACTCTTGCTCTTCTTGCCTGCACCTCCCGAGTGATGGTGTGCATCGCCACACCAAGGTAGAAAGTCATTGTCTGTGATGAGAAACAACCAATGGTTTCCTCTAGCACCATATCTGTCTCCTGTGCATTAGAGAAGAGGACCAGAAAGTCAGGAGCAGGAAACAAAGACATAGAGGCTGGAAAGGAAAAGGAAAACTTAAGTTATAGGGTTATATAAGTAGTAAGCCCCAAAGAGTCTAACACTAACAATACATTTAGCAAGTTATTGTAATAACTTATAAAAGCAAGCAGGGCTGGGTGTAATAGCATACATTATTTTAATGTTTATTTTAACTGACATGTATGGGCATTTTGTCTGCACTTAAGTGTGCCTGCCCGAAGAGGTGTCAAAGCCCCTGGCACTGGATTTACAGATGGTTGTGAGCCATCCTGTAGATGCTGGGAATTGAACCTGGGTCCTCTGCAAGACCATCAAGTGCTCTTAACCCCTGAACCATCTCTCTAGCCCCAGTAGCACACATCTGTAATCCCAGCACTGAGGAGGTAGAGGCAGGTAGATCACTGTAAGCTTGAAGGCAGCCTGGTGTACATACAGTTCCAGGAAGCCAGGGGTCTACACAGAGGGACCCTGTCTCAAAAATAAATAATAACCAAAATAAAATAACTAGGGCTGGAGTTTGACTCACTGGTAGAACACTTGTTTTGCAAGCATGAGGCATGATTCCATGCCCAGTACTACAAGAAGTAATGATAATAATGACAAAAACAATATAATAAAGGAAGTCAGGCCCTGTGGCTCATTGCCCCTAACTCACCCCTGGCTGTTTTGTTTTGCTTGGGACAGGTTCTTACTCTGTTGCCCAGACCAGACTGGAACTCATTATATTTAACCCAGGTGGGACTTAAAACTTAGAGCAGTCCTCCTGGCTCAGCTTCCCAAATGCTATGACTTTAGGCATGAGACACCAAGCCAGGCTTCAAAGGCATTTTAAACCCATGCAGCTCTTATAATGAGGCATCTTCAGACATGATAGAAGCGAGGACTGAGAGGCCATTCTGCCTGCCCCTGAGGACGGGAGCCCAGGGAAATGCTTTGAGCAGGTCTCTAAAGATTGGGGGAGGTGCAGGGCAGGACAAAACACCTTGCCCTCTGTGCTCCACGGCCTTCCTCCATGCTGGATCTGCAGGGAGACAGTTTCTTGTAGGTGAGAGATTTCTGATGCAGTAAGTGAGCAGGACAAGGTGAAGGTTCAAACCAAGGCAAGGCAGCCTGTTGGCTAGGTGGTGGGAGGCAGAGCCAGCACAGCTTTCGGTCCCTTAGCATCAGATCTGAGCTCTGATGGCCTTTGGCTGAGGCCCCTGCCCTGCTGAATAAACTCACAGGTCTCAAATGGAGTACAGGGTGGGAATACCAAAAGTGGGTGCTTAGCAGGTTGGGGAGCTATTTCAGGTGGGTCTCTGGGCCTCTAGAGTTGCCTCCTTCACTTCGCCTGAGTTCTCAGTGGTTCCGCAGCACAGCACGAGTTCATCTGGCGGCCTCATCGAGAGAGAGGAGGGGCAGGGCTGTGAGGGGCAGGCCAGAACGTGGGGTAGGACATAAGGCTTTGATGGCGTCCTAGGCAATCCATCCCTCCTCTGAGCAGATTCCTCCAGCCCCTCTCAGGCCACACTTTGAGGCTTCAAAGGAAAAGCTACAGAAGCTGGGTGAGGGCAACAGCTCCATTACTTGGGAAGAGTTTGCCAAGATGAAGCAGGAGCTAGAAGTGGGTAACCAAACCCCAGCTCCATCCCTCCCCAGAACCCTGAAGGATTCTTCCCCAAGTATAATGACATCCTGAAACCTAGACCTTTGGCCCCAGGTCTGTTGAGGAGGAGGAGGAACTATTATGATGGGGGCCCAATGTGGATGTCCAACTGTCCATGGTCCTACAATGAATACTTGGCCATCTTTAAGAAGACTGGCAATGCATGAAGTCTTTCTACAGCCCCTGGCAGCCTATCCCAAATTGTGTTGGGATCACAATTTCTGTCCTCTTGGAGTACAGCCAGAATGTAAGGTGGGTTGAGAATGCTGGGATCTGAGACCAGGATGGAATCAGGCCTGAGGATTTCACTCACTCAGTTTGCTCCCTGTGTGGGTGGCATTTGACCAGGGTAGAAGTTACAAGTGCCCCACCCTCCCCTGTGTGCTTAGCTGAGAGAACAGGAAGGATGACTTGGGAGGGTCCCTGAGGAGCATCAGGGCTGCAGATCACTGGCATTTGAGGGCTCAAGGTGACCCTTTGACTATGGGAGGGAAGCCGCTGATGGGCCCACCCTGGGCTGGTGGGAAATGGCACAGCATGCATGGACTGCCGTGCTGCAGTGCCTGGGTAAGAAGTGTTTTTGTTGCCAGGTGAGGTGGCGCACGCCTGTGATCCCAGCCTTTTTTCTCAAGACCCCTTCTGGTCTCCCTACCACAGAAGCTGGAAGGCCAGGTGGCCTCTGATGAGGACTTGAAGCCATCTGACATGGGAGACTCAAAGCCAAGGTGAGAGGTGGCCCTAGGTTTCTCAGGGACCGAGGCAACGTGGGGAGCACGGGCATGGCAACAGGCATCTTGTGCCGATGGCCCTAGGGCCTGCTGACAGGCGGCTCCGGGCACTCTGAGAATGCTAACAGGGCATTGGACAAAGCTCGTACAAAGCTTGGCAAGTACAAACGGCAGAGCCAACAGCTGTGCTGTCAGTGCTTGGAACACCTCTTCTCACCCCTCATATTCCAAGGTGAGCCCTGAGGCCCGCCATGGCCCCACAGTGAGCATCCACCCGTCCCTACTCCTTTTCACTCTCTCCCCATAGCTCATGGACCTCAAGTCTCCTCTTTCTAGAAGAATCTCATTGAGTTGTCAGAGCTGGGACTCAAAACATGCCAAGGTGGCCAAGCTGAACACTTGCCCTTTCTCCATGAGCTCTTGTGCTATTCCATCTTCTTCCCCAAGATATGCGGGTGGAGCAGAGTACAGCCAGGCCTGGGGGTCAAGGTAATGCCCTCTCTCCTGAGGTCTTTTGCTTTGCTCACCTTGGGCAGTAGGAAAAGGGCCTGAGGGCTGAAGAACGATATAA